CAATGACACAGACACCTATGTTCATTTCCTGATTGTTGTATCCACAATGTATCCACGATGGATAATGCTCTAACATGTTGCTGTATTTGCTTTGCCATTCCCAATCTATGTTATGCTCTGCAACGACCGCTTATACTATATGAATAGTTCCACCTTGTCACCACTCCAAGCGAAGAAATCTCCGGTCTTGTTTTTTGCCATTGTTGTTCCACATTCGTTGTATTTTTTGCAAGTAAGCAACCAACTGCAGAGTAGAAAATCTGCTTCCTGTTTGTGTACGTGAGCGATCATGTGATATGCCTTTTAAGGTGCGTTAGCATAGACGGAGATCATTTCCGATATGGAGCTAAAATGCTCATCTGGATGGAAACGTATCAGTGTGGTGGGTTAATTTGAATGAAGCTGCAAGGCACTGCTCTGCGCAGGCAGATTAAAGCAAAGCTGCAACCAACAAACAGTTGCATGGAGACCGATTGTGTGTGTGATCACAGCCTTACTGAAGGATAACAGCATCACTACGTGGGTCACCCAGCTGTATGGGTACAATGAAGCATTTACCATTTCCTAACGCCTTACCTCAAAGAGCCAGTCATGGATAAGCAACTGTAGACAAAGCAGCTCTGATTTGGATTTGCTCACATGATAGAAGTGGGAAGCAAGGGCACTAGTAAGAGAAATACTCGGCATCTAAAGAGTATAGAGGGTTTCTTCATCGCTGCCTTTCCAAAGCTAAAAACAAAAGAGCAGTGTGTTTATATCCTCTTTGGAAAGACAGTAACATCAGCACGCACTGATTATTAGTTTACCACCTAGAGTGTTAATGAAGCATTACTTCCATAGCCATGAGTTTGCATATCATTAATTAATCAAACGGCATTACAGGTGATGTTAGAAGAGAGGGAGCCTGCCCTGGTTGCTAGGATATCAGAATTTGAAGTAAAATTGAAAAGTGAAATTGTTTGTTTATATGTTGGTGAAATGTTTTTTCTCTCTGTACTATAGCACCAGAGCTCTTTCACTTCCATGACCTCTACATAGATTATCAACTGGTGAGGATGCTGGCTTAAGACATGCAGCTTTGACTTAGCATGACATTGTCTATGTAGCCATCAAATGCACAATTAAGACCCTTTTACTGGGTTCTCATTTTGATTTTCATTTGACATTCTTGAGTCAGCCAAAAACATTTAAAAGGTCTCCTGCAGATGGAGTTTTCAAATCAGGTAGCCATAGTTTAGCTGGAAACATCTAAGGTCACTGACTAAAGATGAAACGCCTACTTTGGTCTGCCTGTGTGTGAAATCAAGAAGGTGGCAGATCCCAATTCAGGGACGCAGGTCGGCGGAGGCTCAACCAAAATGAGGCTAGTTGCACTGATGTGACACGATCAGTCTTCAGATGCAGCCTCTGAATTGGGACACAGCTAGTATGAACTGCGCACAGTGCTAGAATGGAAAGCTTAATGGGCATAGCAACAGTAACTAGGGGGGGGTAGGGAATTACTGACACTGATGCTGTTTGAATTCATTTGACCATGATTGGTCTCCACTGTGTTGGGCAACAGTAGCTCAGCTAAAGGAGGAAGAGGACAGTCAATGCTGATTTATTCAAAGGATATCAAACGTTCATTTAAACATTGTGAGAATGAGCATGAGCTGAGTTACTGTGACAGAAAGACAGTCACTGAAAGATCGTGCAGTTTGTAAAAGGATGGCAGGGACAGAGAGGTGGTCAAATCAGGCGGCACCTTTTGACATAGCAGTGGTGGCAGAGGGAGAAGGAAGGAAGGAGGGGAAGAGGGGAAGAGCAGAGTTGGACCGGCTATCTCTCACAGCTAAAATGCTGGTGCAAACTGTTTTGGCAGTGCAAAGTTGTCTGAATGCCAACAGGATGGAAGAAACACCAGGAAGCTAGCTGGTATTAACAAAACTATAATGTCATCTGCATTTTTTACAATGCACCAACAGTCTGTCAATTATCTTGGCATCTCAGATGACTCTGGAGGAACTTTTGAAGGTATTTCTGCTCTGCACTCAGTGGAGCTGATGGGGATGTAGTATTGCACACAGGGTGAGGTCTGTGTCTAGCCTGCAGGAATCTAACAGCTCAGGGAGAATCTGAGTTTTTAACTGGTGGATGGTGATGCAATGGATACTATTTCTATTTTTTCATCTCATGTGTCATCATAATTCCAAGCATTCAGCAATAATATGAAATTACCAAGATTGTGCCTCAAGCTTTCAGCAAAAAAAAGTGCCATTATGGCTGGATTGTTGAGTATTAAAAAAGGAGATGTCATTATTGTGCAGGATCTCATGGCTGAGATAGAAACTGAGTCTTCAAGTTGTGAGAGGAGGAGAGCTGAGAGCCGGGGGGGGACATGGGCAGGTCAGAGAACTGAGATCCTCTCTGACCTTCAGTCTCATTGTCTGAACGAAAGGATGGTGGAGGCTGTGGGGGAGAGGATGGAACTGGTGGGGTTTTTACCGGGGTCCGAACAGGCCCAGACTTCAAAGAGGAAGTGAAAGGAGAGGAGGACAGACGTGGCAGAGATACAAGACAGAGACACAGAAAAACAAATAAAGACATCCAGGTAGGATTAGATACAGGGAAGAGGATTGGAGGGTGAGACAGATTGGGGGAGGGGGGGTCAGTCCTCTGACTACTGATCATTGTTCTTTAACTTATTTTCTTGTGTTCTTTTGCTCTTCAGTCTTTCACCGATCATATCAGGCACAAGAGTCTCATGCAAATACATTATCAGGATTAACCTGGCCATGCGACTGATTGGCACATCAAGCAGGATGGCAAAGCTTGCAGTAGCCATTCACAGAGCAAAGGCAGCGGTAAGGGGTGAGAGCTTAGGGTTAAAGGGGGTGGGATCTAGGACAAGGCACCTACAAAAGGTGCCAGTATGCTTCAAACGCAGTGGTTGACAGAAACCTATTCCCCCCCACACTTATCCGACTTCCTTCCAGGGACCCGGCATCTAACAGTATCTGTAACTTTTCCAAAACCAACTTCACAAAGCAACTGGACAGGTGTGTGGAGGTGAGATGCAGTGAAGTTTGCATGATGTGTCGGTTTTGTCAAGTACAGCACCACGAATCCCCTTGTCCCCATTCGTACACTGCATCAAGTCTGGTCCCTCTCTGTGAAGGCCAGCCCTACACTCTCAATTCTGTGTCTCAATTCACGTACTTCCACACTCACACTTGCTATTTTGAGTGCGTTCACACTGACAAGTACCTGGATGGTGCACTTCGCACCTTTAACGGTCGCCATCTTGGCTACGTAGCAGAAAGGGGTTGGAAGGGGGGGGGGGCACCAACGTATTCTCAAACTTGTGAAAATGGCCACAGAGGAAGGAGGACGTCAGTGGAGGCTTAATTTCCATGTGACATGACACAAGAGGCACACACAGGAAAGTAAAACGTTCATTTAAAGTCAAGTGAGCAAAGCAGCTGGAAGGCAGGTGACAATCATGGTCAGATGTTGCTATCATCAATTCCGGAGAGTGCACAACAGCACACTACGCCAGTGAGTATACTGTGTACTACATGTGAGTGTACTGACTTGAAGTATCCAATTTGATACACAGTGTTTAGAACAAGTATTACCACCTCTGCCTTCAGACATGCTCAGGCAACACTTCTACAAACTAGTTGGTTTGAAGCATACTGAACCCTTTATTGCTGCAGCTGAGCACAGTCTGTTGATGCTTGTTAACAGTGGGCCATGGCCACAGCCTCCAGGAGCCATTCTTTACATTGCTCATGAGGAAAACACTGGACAGTGTTGACCTTCTGCAGCCGAGGCCAGAAAGCATTAGATCAGAGCACCTTTACCTCAGACACGCCACCAACTACTCTGTGTGCAGGTACAACTGGGGACATCCTCCCCTGCGTGTGCGCACACACACACACACACACACACACACACACACACACACAGACACGCCATTTTCACATTGGCAAATATGAAAAAACTCCTGAAGTCTAGTCCCTCTGTGACTGCAGTTCTAGTCATGCTAAAGCAGTGAAATGATATGGAGAGAGCCAACAGCACCACCTAATGGAAGATCAGTGAACAGTTCTGGATGATGAACTACACTGTGGTCATCTGTTGTACTCTTCATGTTCAACAACAATATGTTTATAATATGTTCAGTACTGTGCATATGTATGTCTTGCCCATTATAATCCTCCATGCAGGTGTGTACATTTTATTTAAAAGTAGTGGTAATATACAACTGAAGACAATAGTGCAATTGTCTTTATGCACTAGTACAACACAAATTAAGTCTAATAGAAGCACCCTGTGTCAATATCTAGATTTAGATTCTAGAATATTCAATATTGGTCACATAGTGCCTGTTCTCAAACATCTGTAGACACATACACACCTGGTCAGATGTCAACATCTGTTCAAATGACGCCCTTTTTCACAGCAGACATTTTGACTGGTCATGGTAGGAAAAGCCTTGTTCTAATTACTACTAACATTAACATCTTACTAATGACATTAACAACGCTTTACTCTGTTCAAGTGCCCAATAAAGCTGAAGCAGCTAATTGGAATTCAGCCAACATTCATGTGATTATTTACACCAACAGGTCAAATTGTCTTCCATGAAAAAAGGCATTTTGGGCCATAAGAATAAAACTGTCTTGACTGAATTTGTTGTTGGACTTTAACAAATGAAAGTTAGCTAGGTAGCATACAAAGTGCTATGGTTTAAAGGAACAGTCTGAACATGTCACCTAGAGTCAGATGAGAGGAATCAGCTTCACCTCTGTGCGTCCAGCACATAGATAGGACAGAGATGTGTTTAGCCTAGCTTAGAATATCTCAGACTGGAACCCGGAGAATATGCTAGCATAGCTACATCACATAACTTAACTGACATGGTGCATGTGGATGATCTAACACTGTGGATGGATTATATCTACAACAATAATGGACTATTGTGTATTCTCTCCTCAGGCTGCTGGACTCACCGCTGGTTGGAGCTGCCCGTTGATGCTCGCCGTGCGGAACGGCGAGTTGGTGGAAAGACGCTTGTCCCACTCACTGGGCCGAGGCTCCGGTACCGACTCCATGAAGCTCCTCTTCAGCTCGCTGATGCTAGTGTGGTGACGCATGATCTCAGTCTGGGTCTTATCCACGTCCTTCAACAAGAATGTAAAAGTCAGAATAGGAAGAGAAAGAGGAGGGATAGAGTGACAACATGAGAGAAAACAGGATGATAGAAAATGAATCAATATGTGAAAGAAAGGAGGAGTGAAAAGAACATGTCACCATGTAGAAAGTAAAGATTTATACGATGAAAGGAGATAAATAGCTAAAAAATAAAGAGATTGGAAAAAGAAGCTGGAAGAACAACCTGCTATTCTTTCAATCTGCTGACAAAGTATTCTTTAATATGCAGTGTGGCCTTGTGTTATTTCATGTACTTTCCCAATGACACGCTGAGGTCATGAAACAAGATATTTTTCAGACACCAGACTGCAAAGGGAGGAGTCAGCATCTGTCTGCTGTCATCTGTGATTCATATTTCAGCCACTGAGATTTGGGGTTTACAGCCTTCTCTATATCTCTCTCATGTGGGTCATGATAAGAGAAATTAGGTGCTGAGGATTACTCCTGATACTGGTTGCTAATAAGGTGCACAGATTATGGCTTTCATCATTGCCTCTGAGAGATGTTAAAACTCTAATACTCTGCATATGGTGATGGACGGTGCACATCCAACCTGAGTTCAGTCAAGGTGCAGGAAAAAGGCAGCATACTAAACAAAAGTAAAGGTAGTCTGCACACTGAATATGGCAAGATCCCAACAAATTCAGTAAATTAAGAAAGAAAGTGAAAGAAATGAAGTGTGCTGTGTCTGAGGTGAAGTTGAATGTCTACATCTATACTGTTTGGGCTGGGGCCTTTGTCATAAATTCAAAATAATTTGTCTGGGATCTGACAGTCTGTTTTTTATTCACATGGATGTTGACCAAGCATCAACCTCTGGGGCTGAAAAACGAAGCCAACGCTGAAAAGACAAAAACTGCAGTTCCTCTAATGACCACTAGAGTCTGGCTCCAACAGTGAGTCAATCCCCATAGACTCCCATGTTAAAATGTCCAACTTTACAGCAGAAATAAACGGTTTTGGTCTCTGTAGTCTCCTCCTACATGACAACTATACAGGGGTGAATTTTTATATAACTCACCTGTTTACATTTTATTAAGACTTAAAGTTATATATAATTGAGGGCGTGGCCTCTTTGAATGACAGGTGGATAAGCATATGCTTGTCACAAACCGGTATGCACCGAAGTCCTAGCTTCAGACACGCCCCACCTCTTTGACCATTTTTGTATGAGCAGTGAGTTAGGAGTGGAGTCAGATGGCAATGGTGAAGCAGCTCACTCTTAGCTTCAAAACCTCTCTTCCAAAACCTGTGGCTGACGTCACAGAGGGTACGTCCATCTTTATTTACGTTCTAGGATGTTGACCTGACAAAGACCCTGAAGGTCAAAACATTGCATCATTAAGTTTTAGGAAGTTTGCAGTATAGACATCCTCTTTTTTTGCTCATGGAATCATAAACAGAAATGTATTCTTGAGCTTTCCTCAGTGATCAAACAGGTAAACAATGATTTAATGCTCTGCCTGCAGTTTAAGTTGGAGGGCTAAGCTAAACATGTCCTGAAGATCCTGGAGATACAGGAGAGGGTTAGGGTTAAGGGCTGGAGGGTTAAGGTTAGGGGTTAGAGGGTTAGGGCTTTGAGGGTTAGGATTAGAGGGTATAGGGGTTAGAGGGTTAGGGTTTGAGGGTTAGGATTAGAGGGTATAGGGGTTAAAGGGTTAGGGGTTAGAGGGTATAGGGGTTAGAGGGTTAGGGGGTTTGAGGGTTAGGGTTAGAGGGTATAGGGGTTAGAGGGTTAGGGTTTGAGGGTTAGGATTAGAGGGTATAGGGGTTAGAGGGTTAGGGTTTGAGGGTTAGGATTAGAGGGTATAGGGGTTAGAGGGTTAGGGTTTGAGGGTTAGGATTAGAGGGTATAGGGGTTAAAGGGTTAGGGGTTAGAGGGTTAGGGGGTTTGAGGGTTAGGGTTAGAGGGTATAGGGGTTAGAGGGTTAGAGTGATAAGGGTTAAGGTTAGGGTCAGGTCTTCAGGGTTTGGTAGTTGACCACCTGTTTCCCCAAATATCCAACTGTTGTTTTAATTATAAACAGCCATGTAACAGTGGCCACGAACTACTGCATATTTAAATGACTGTTGTCAGGCTGAACAGGTGACAGGCTGATTCACAGAAAAGAGCAGAAGATGAACTAAAGGGGGGGAGACATGTCACAGAATTTACAGACTGTATTTGTACCCAGTAGAAACAAACCTATAAACTGCAGAGACTGCTAATCTATGAGTGACCCCTTTTACAGTACATTTAATCTTTGTGCAGCTTTAATGGGGGGAATTTACCAGTACGAGTGTTATCAATCTGTCTGTGGTCTCTCTCTTCTGAAATGATATAAACTCAGCGCACAGGATGTCACATGGCACAGTGGTGACCGTAATCAGGGCAACAGAAACACAGAGTCACACACAGACAGTAAACACAGCACGAGCACTGCAAGGTTTTAGGTCCATGTAGTGAATGAATCACATGAAAAGAGAGTGGAGGTCTAACTGATGAGAAGAACAGCAGCAGAGTTATTGACATAACTGAGACATACATGACTGGGAAAGAACAAAGGAGTCTTGGTCGATAGAGCCTTCTCACAGCAGCCATTCTGACTTTTCTTCAGCAGGAAAAGCACAAGTGGAATTAAAAACATTGATGATGGCTGCATTCCTTTGGTTCACTCATTAGCTGTGTCCCAATTCGGGGGCTGCTTTAAAAAACCGATTGAATCACAGCGGTGCAACTAGACGGTCTCATTTCAAAGGTTCCTTCAAATGTGCACTTCTGTCCCTGGGTCACGAAGCATCCAACACGTGAATCTGGTACAACTGTTAAAACCAAGGAACTTAAAATCTCAAGTTTCTGTGTAAAAAAAGTTACATGTTGTCAAGGTTGCTAGGCAACAGGAGCTGCGGGCACAGCTGGTGACGCAAATTGGAAATCCTCTGTGGGCCTGATCATCTCATTTCAGTTTGGCCTTCATGGTCTTTAACGGCCACGGAGAACCACAATTTAGAAGACCACGTTCAAAGGATGCAGCCCCTGGATTGGGACACATCTTATGTCATGGTTTACTGGGATTAGCATTGTAAATGTTAACATTTACACCTGTGCTCTTCCAGCTTTGACAAACTGTCTGCTGGGGAAGGGGTCTAAGAACCATGTGGCAAAATAGCAGACTAGGTCCTGAAACTACTCAGTGGCTGGTACACAGAACCTAAACACAGCCCTTCCTTTACATTGCCCTAGTTGAGATTATTTTGCTTTTGGTTACAGTCAGTTTTTGTTAAGGTCAGGTCAAGGTCAGGGTTTCACTCACACTCATGTGAAAATGGAGAACAGGAAAAGGTCTTCAGCTACATCTAATAGTTTGTGGTTTATCCATAAAGCTATTGACATCTGAATTGACAACAAATAAAAGCAGGAGGAGACAAGGGGGCACTCCACCAACTCAACACACAATGATCAGCTTACTAGTCATAAGGAGTAGCTACAACTTAGCCTGTAAAAACAGCTGTGCAGAGGACATCTGTCTGGCTAAATAACCCTTTAAATATTATTCTTACACGATCCAGCAGCACAAGCTGCACTGTGACTGTTTGGTAATTTCCTGACCTTTGCACATCTCTGTGGTACGTGTGTCAGGGTGCAGTGTGTTTGGTGCACAGGTGTTAGGAGAAGCATGGACAGGTGGCGGTTGATTCAAATGAAGCTGCGCAAAGCGAGTTGTTGGTGGAAACTGTGTCTTAGACTTTGTGCTGAGCAAAGCAAATGAGCAGCAATGATACAATAATGCTTAAAATGTAAATAAACCATTTTAATTAACCAGCCAGTAGAGGCGTTTAAATCAGCATAAAAACTTCATGTTTATTGGAACATTGATAAATCACTCAGTTGATTAAATCACTCAGTTAATTAAATCACTCAGATGATTAAATCTCTGCAGCCGACTGAAGCAGCAGGATGATGTTGAATCTACAGCCTCTGATTGGAGCGATACCAGAGTGCAGTGCCATTACACAGCTGACCACCGGGTTTACTTTTATTAAATCGTGCAAATGACACCAGGCTCCTACAGATTATACAATACGTACAATACTACACACTAGACACTTGGTATTATGATGTTTCAGTGGGCGCTGTCGGGTTGATCGAATGGGATTGCTGTGGTGTCACATCTGGTGTGAGCATTTATGAAGTAAGATACAGGAGTATTTAGGCCACAGCTATTCCAGAGCAATGAGACCAGTGATGTGACTGGCTAAGAGTGAATTTAATAATCACCACACTCTGATTTATCTTCCACCTCATCCAGCATTTGTACACTTCGTGCTGCTGCACCTACATGAACCAATGTAGCAGGTGTGCTTGAAGACGTGGGGTTGAAATACAGCCCCAGGTCCGTACTACTATCTTTTACTGTACTGTACTGTTACTGTACATCTTTACATCATTGGAAATAGGCATACACTAGTATCGGTTGGTATAGGTATATCTTTGACTTTAACTGCAAATGTAACTGAGCTTATATCTCACAACTTCACTTATTTGTTGTTTGTTTCAGCACCAAAGGCCAATCTGCAGAACCACTTTAAACATTAACCTAAAAAAAGAGACCTTTCCCAATCATATATTTCAGACAATGAAAATATAAAATGACAAAGACAATGTCAGAGTGAAGTGAAGCTACTTGCATGAGAATCAGAGAGGAAAATAGTGCATGCCAAGCCTTTAGGGTTAAGCTGAAAACAAGGCAAGAAATGAAGAGAAAATGAGGAGTCAAAGCAAAAAGAAAATCAACACAAACTCCATGCAGGAAGAAAAACATGATGGCAAACAGCCAGAACAGATATCTGAAGACTGAAGATACAAACCTCCAACATTAAATTGCTATGTCTGATATAAATAGTTTCACCCTCAAGTTTCTTAGCTCTTTTCTGTGGGAGATTAGGAGAGAGGAAAGAGCTGGTTGGAAATAAAGCAGAACTGATTCAAACATTTTAATATTTGATTTGCAGTGAGCAGCAGTGACGATGACAAGAATCACAGAAAAATAAAAGCACTATGGGGTTGCAGCTCTTAGGGTGCCCAGCTCAGCAGGGGACTGAATTCAGAATTCAGCCACACACACACACACACGCACACACACACACACACACACCACACCACAACACGCAACAACACACACACACACACGACACACACACACACACACACACACACACCACACACACAGTTGTGTGTATGAGAAGCCAGGCAGATACACACTCGCTGCTGGTTGTGGAGGTTACATGCTGTGCATGCAGAGGCTGCTGCAGTGCAGTGCAGTGTGCAGGGGAGGAGCATCAGTGTGCGTCTGCTGGAAGAGTCACTTCAGGAATTTGCATATTTGAAAAAAAACACATTCACTTCTGACTATTTTCATTATTTCAGCTTCTTCTGTCTCGATGGAAAATCGTCAAATGTCGATCAAATTTCTAAAGAGATTAAGTGAGCCTGTATCTGATGACATTCCTGTATGTGACCTACCCGTTTTTAGTTTCAACCACCCAGTGTTCAACTTAATGCGTCCCTGACTCTCGTACTGGCAGCACATAAATTTAAAGTAGGTGTGTGGACAAAGTAAAGCGATCAGAGCTTGGTTGATATGACATGTAATATCTCGATACAGTCCAGCCATACATTATATTATTGTATTTCATGTTTAAGGTAAAAGCCTAATTTCCTGACCTTGACATTTGCTTTGCACATCTCTGTGGTACGTGTGTCAGGGTACGGTGCGTCTGGTGCACAGGTGTTAGGAGAGGTGTGAACAGGTGGAGGTTCATTCAAATGAGGCAGTGCAAAGTGAGTTGTTGGTGGAAACTGTGTCTTAGACTTTGTGCTGAGCAAAGCAAATGAGCAGCAATGATACAATAATGCTTAAAATGTAAATAAACCATTTTAATTAACCAGCCAGTAGAGGCGTTTAAATCAGCATAAAAACGTCATGTTTATTGTCTTTAAAGCAGGAACGTTGATAAATCGCTCAGTTGATTAAATCTCTGCAGCTTCTGATTCATGCTGATTGTGGCATTTTATGTTTCAGGTATGAGCAATGCTGCCACAAAATAGCAGTTCAAAGCCTGTGCAAAAAAATATAGTGAAAAATATCACATATGGAGAGAAACATCGCAATATTAGATATTACTGAATATCAGCCAAGCCTAGTGATACAACTACAACAGCCTGGATTGCTGCAGACTAAAGTTTTCATTCGCCATCCACGAATACACCATCACCTACAGCTAGTCACCAGAGTAATGTGATTGGCTGCGGCCAGTATAATAGTACGACTCAGATTATCAGCCAATAAATATCTGCAAGATTCAATTTGTGAACACAACGTTGACATCATGACCCAAACAGTCTCTTATTCACACATCCAGCAGTTACAGAGAGACGTTATCCTTCAGCTGGGGTCATGTCTCCGGTCAGCTGGTGGACGTTCAGTCCAATATGAGCAAGTCCTGAGGGAAACATCTGACTACCAGCTGATGAACGCACCACTGTGTTGTGTTAAGCAGAACAATATGTGTATCAGGGTGTGGTGTCGCCCTAACATGACACCACTGTTAAAAAACCAGAGATCTCTAGAATAAAGTATTTTGAGAACGTTATGAGAATAAAGTTCCCAATTTTATGTACAAAAGTAAAGATTTTATTAGGATCGTGTAAGTTATTGTTATATTTCCAGAGTAAACTAGATCAGGTGGATGTGCATGTTTTTATTTTTCCTCACGGTCCAGCTGCTGTTTTACGTCCAGAGGTTTTGTGTTTGTGTCTAACGTCTGGATGTCCTGCTTTACATGGAGAGTCTGACTGTCAGATTAAACTCAATGAGACGACGGGAGAGCATTAACTGCTACTCCATGCACAGAACATTACAAAGATTAGAAATACTACGACAGATAATTACCACTGCCTTTCATATCATGATGATGCCATGCTGTCGTGTGTGGGTCAGCTGTCCACACACACAAGGTGCTGCTCTAAAAAGAGAGAAAGTTTATTTTTCAAATGTCTAATTTTAAGGGTTAATTATCTAGATTGGATTGTATTTCTATTAAGGATTTATATTTCAAACAGACGGTCTACTAATATACAGATTTGTGATGTTTGCTCTGTGTCCGCTGCCACCATGACTTCATTTGGCTTGGATGCAGATAAATAAACATCTGTTACATATACAATCGATATTATTGACACAACAGCAATTTATGAAATTAAATGTAGAGAAAACTGCTAGCCCATCACTATACTGCACGATAAGGTGACCAGTCTCATATAGTGCCCTACTGCAGATCTTTATTCTTTATTATTATTATTATTATTATTATTGCCACACTTTAAACAAAGCCACTGCAAAATCCTGGAGGGACCGACTGTAAAGGGGTTTTTCCTGAACTAAAACGAACACATGTGAGAATGTGTATCCTCCCTCTGACAAACGTTATCCTGTGAACCAGTATAACTGTATCTTTGCTTCTGGAGAAGGAGAAACCACGTTCCACACAATGCAACATATTTTTTAACAAAGAGCTGCAGGGAATAACAGCGACCGGAGAGCAAGTGGTCGTGCGTGAACAAGCCTTCACAGAAAGATGAACAGAAACCACAGAGCAGTCCCTCCATCAGAGCGCTCGGTGTCTGTGCAGTGATAAACAGAAAAGCAAATGAAAAGTCTCATGATGTGTAACTGATGCATGGATGACGGTGGACCGCCGGCTCAGGAGCATGCTAACCTTCCTCACTCGCACCACCTCCGTCTTTGTTTTGTCCTGAGGAGAGTGCTGCTCCCCCATCAAAGAAAAGACACAGTTACTGTATATTCAGGTGTGTACTGTAAATTCTGAGAAAGGCATAGTGAAAAACTATGAGCTATAATGACTGCACCATGTGTGTTTATGTATATGGGACCAAGAGTCTGAGACTACTAGCAAAGATGCTTCTATTTTGCGTTTGTTTTAAATGTAGCATTTTCTGATTATAAATGAAAATATCAGCTTTAACAAGTTGAGTTGAATCTTTCACAACATCTTAGTATTTGCTTAGCCCCCCTTCTGCTTTAATGGCAGTCTGCACTCCAGCTGCAGGGATAAAACCCGATGACCCAGGGTCTCCCAGCAAGATCTGACAGTGCTCCACAATAAATGGTTCAGGTCAGGTCCAGGACAGTCAGGACTCATTGTTGTTCTCTGCTCTTCATGTGGTTCTTGCAGAGCTCTGACATGTGGGGTGTGGGGGTTTGGCTCCTGATCCTGCTGCAGCATCAATCCTCCTCCACAAAGTTGAAACAGCTCCATCCTCTAAAGGATGGAGCGGTACTTCTCCTTGGTCAGGTGTCCAAACCCCTGCAGACCTGAATATTCCCCACACCACGTTTCACTGTATCATTCTCTCTCCTATTCATCTCCTTACATCCACCCTTCTGTTACTGTCAAACGTCTCACACTGTGCTTCATCAGTAAATGGGACTATTTCTCAAGCCATTCACTCTGAAATGCTGATATTTCTGAGCCCCCTTTAGTCCAGCCATGGTCTGACACCGAGGAAGCCCTTCTTTACTAAGAATTTTTCCCACCATCACAATGCTGCTTAGTGAGCGATGACCTGCTGGAAACTAGAGGCACAGCCTTACTTACTTACAACAGGTGAACACTTGAAGTAAAGGAAGTGAGCACATGCTCCAATGGAAGAGATACAACTCAAGGAAATCTGACCTTTGGTACAAAGGAGTTAAATCGGTCAACACCCCAGATTTACTTAGAGTTTCAATGTGGTCTCAGACTTTTGGAGCCCACATACATACGTGCCTATAATTATTTCATTATGTAAATCTCAGTGTCTAGTTACTGGTGTAGTTACTGGTTGAGCTGGTCTCAACACTGCTTCAGTCTGATCATGCATCAAGCAAACAAACCTGGCTCTTTTTCTCTCTTTCTCCATTGGCGGTGGTCACGGAGGGGGAGTGCCTCCGCTCTCTCCTGGCCACTGTCTGGTAGCACAGACAAAGCTCACACATCAGGATCAGTTCCACAAAACATTCCTGCTTCCACATGGAGCTAAAACTAAACCTTGAAACCTTTGGTAGAACGTCCTTTTCCTCAGCACTGGTATTAATGAACAGAGTGACGGCTCGATGGCACGTTAAACACATGGTGAGGGGAGGGAGCGTGTCACTACCTTGATTTCTGGAGTGGCGTCTGGTCTGGGGCTGTGGCTCTTGCCGTACTCAGCTGGCTGACTCTCCTTCTTTACCTCTGCCTTCCTGTCTGCAGAGCGGTGACCTTTAGGTGTGCAGCCGTCATGGTGGTCAGAGCGAGGCAGGGTGGGCAGCAGTGGCGATGGGGATGCCTCCCCAGGAGACACCGGTGACATAACGGGGGCGCTGACCGGACGAGTGGATTTGTTATCGGGGGTGGACACCATGGCTGAAGTGGACAGAGAGGAGAGACAATGGCCGCAGTTTAAAAAAAGAGATGAAAACTCATGTCATGTGTGTATCAGGCGCCTTCGTCACCATCAATTAAATACCACAACAGCTGTTAAGATTGGATGTGAAAATCACCATCCCAACACTAATCAGATGCTGGAAATCTGTCACCATGTTAAATTGGAATGATATCACCAGTGGAGAAAACCCTTTATTCACATGACGTCAGTGAAAGCACAGAACATTAACAAGTGTGTTTTGTCAACTTTTCTGAAAAAAAAGAAAAAAAAACCCTTAAAACCCTCAAAAGTGTGAAGGAAACAAAGCTTTAGTTATTTCTCATTGTGATTGTCCTCCTGAACACATCTATGAGATGCACTGCCAGTGGCACACAGCAACAAAACAGTTGTCAGTGAATTTGAACGCAGAATTTCCTTCAAACACATTGTGTTTAAGATACCATGAACTGGAATTGAATGCCGCTACACAAAGCAAAAGGCAGACATCAACAGCAGGAGAACTCTGTGTGGTGTGGCCTAATCCAGCATGGCCAGTCTGTGTTGTCAGCACAACTTGAAAAAAATAAATAATACTGTTACATAATGCTGTGTTCCAGATGACAGAGCTGAGGGGTGGAGAGAGAGAAGAGAGGCAGAGTCACTGAGAACAGAGAGGAAACCACCAGCAGATATACTGTGTGTAGAGAAGCAGCAGCAATGTGAGCAGCACTGATCGTGTGTTCGTCTGGGTTTGTTGCAGATCGTCCACTTATCAGAGGGTTGACAGTTTGATTCCCGGCTCCACCAGCCCGAGTGTCGACGTTTTCCCTTGGCGAGAGACTGAACCCCAGCTTGCCCCGCCCCCGTGTGGCTTAGAAGACTAATACTAGAAACACACTGGTAAATGATCTACACTTATGATCATTTACCATTTACCTGGCAGGTGCTGCCAACACAACTTTAAAATCATATTAGGTTTATATGCCGAGCTTGTTAGCAAAAGCTGCTTATTTACACACCCAGCTGTTACAGAGCAACATTATCATTTATCTACGTTTGTTTCTATCCACGTGGCAAATATTGCCACCCGCTCTCTGACTGTATCCGTCTTCTGTTTGCTGCTGAACTGAAAGTGCAATGTGGAGCTTTTCCTCTGGATAAAGCTGTGGAGAGAGTGACAGCTCAACAACTAGCTGAAATGTCAAGCCAAGTATGAAGAAAAAAAAAGATATGTTGCAGAAGGAGCACATGCTGCAGGATTTCCTCCTGGTGAAGCGAGTGTTTGCAGGATCAGGAGATCCCACGTTCAGACAGACCTGAGGACCTCTGATCACTTCCCTGTGGCTGAAGTGATGCTGATAGTTCATGTCTCCATTGTGGCAATAGAGAGTGTGGTCAGTCTTCAGAGCAGAATTGAAACGGCCATGAGAAGTCATCTGTCTGAGGCAAAGACCCAGAACCTGATGACAGTCGCCTCTGGAGCAGTCTCTCCTGACGCCTGCACCCAGTTTCAATCAAGGGAGGAAGGTTTGAGTTCAGGATACAACAGCTCAATTTAGTTCAAAAACTCTCTGCACACTCAGCGTCTCTTCATCCATCTCTCCACACCCTCATAACTGCATAACCTCCTTCAATCATAATCTCCCTCACTTTATAGTGTGTTGTGTTTTGTTGTGTCGTTTATTTGTTTTTAGTCTGTACCCCCTGACTGCAATTCAAGTTTCTTTCTTATAACAAAATGAATCTGAATCTAAATCAAGTTGTGTTTGAAAAGTAAACGCTATTACATAGGCTCTGTCTCATTATCATAAAAAATTAAAATTAAAATGGCAGGTAATAGATTATGATGGAATTTTTACAACCCTCTCCGTCAAAATGACGGACAATGAGAAAGTCTAACACAACCTCTGCAGCCACACTGACACCCCCTTGACTTGACTCACTCACACTGCTGAGGCTTTATATTAAGCTGACAGGTTTGCACACAGTGAATGAGGACTCTGCACTGTGAACACATGAAGGAGGAAATCCAGTCACTCCACAGAGGAGTCAAGTCACAGCCTGTACAGGCAGGAGAAAGGGTTACAGTTACAATACAATACAATAGTAACCATGCCAGATGTTAGTATTACTCTTTAAATTTTACTATATCTATAACCGTGATCGATTACCATGGTTAATTAATGTGGTTAACTTAAAGCTCCATATAGTATAAAGGTAGATGACCATGTGTTGTTTGATTATAAAGCAATGCACAGAAATGCACACAGCCTGTATTCAGAAACTGAGCCTTAAATCCACCCATCAGGACTTCTGGAACTTTGTGATGTCACAACAAAGCTGTCACCACTCTCAGCCATGCCCCGAGCCCCGCCCACCTGGACCCACCATCCCACCTTGCATGATTTGGTTTACCTGAAATCTGCTATATTTTTATTGGATCACTCAGAAAACAATAGAAGAGGAGCTCCAGAGAGAAGCCTGAGAGAGGAGATGTAAATCACTGAGATGGTTTTTGGTTCTTCTTCTTATGGATCAACACTTTAAATAAAACAACAAGTGTGAAACATGAGACCTTTAAACATGCTATCCATGCTAATGAACACACAATTTATTTGCCATACGCATTTCAGGTCCTGTTGACTTTGAATGGGTCCATGCCATCTAACTGTAGTGTAGTTTAACACCTACTGGTTATTAAAATGCACAGAATACAACTCTGTTGTCTAATACTTAGCTTCCTTTGTGTGCAGAGGTCAGGTTCCAAATATATTCTTTACAAATCTATTTAAGCAGTGCCCTGATAGCACACCAGGGATTGGCAATTTTTTTCTAATCCAATCAGAAGAGAGCCTCCTCTCTTCTGATTGGCTCACTGACCTGTTGTTACTAGAGCTCCAGAGAGAAGTCTGAGAGAGGAGATGTAAAACTACATTGAGATGGTTTTTGGTTCTTAAAACCACAAATATATCTTCTTATGGATCAACACTTCAAATAAAACACAGGAGAAGAAGAAAATATGGAGCTTTAACTCAAGTTAGGTTCTGTACAGCATCAGCCAGCCAGCTCCTCCACAGATTTTTCAGCCTCCTGAGAGAACGAGGTCTGAAGTGTGGCGGAGCTCCTTCAGCCTCAGAGCTAACTGAACACGCATTTGAGAATGAATTCTGAGTAGGTTTGTATTTGCACATTGCTGTTTACACCAGTTTATCACCTTCGTCTGTGTGGAATTTCTAGCATAACTGAAGTTCAATAATAGTTGAACTCTCCAAATTCACCTGCTTCTTCTGAGCTCGTTCCAGCAACTTGAGCCATGCATGGGAATGTTTGAGCAGCTAGCTTAACTTTTCCATTTAAAACACGTATATGCTCTTCATCTTACACTGCTAGCTCTTATTCATTCTACGTTTTCACTCGTGCTTTAGAAAAAAAGTTATTATTCCTGTTATTAATCCTCACTAGCATTGCTTGGGGTTCCACCTCACACTTTTCTGCTTCCAAAACATATGGCAGACTTTATAGCATTTGTTTATTATTGCTTATGAGCCAGACGTCTGACATCACCTGTACCCCCTCTCATTCTTTATGCATTAATGACATTTTTTACTTTGTTCGAATGGAAAAAAGGAGATGTACTGTGAATGGTTCACTTGTCAAATTTAATAAAACATGGGGATGATTTTTTTTTTACACATGCTGAGGGGCTGGTGTTTGCAGCTTTCCTTCTATCTTGTTCGTGTTGTTTTTACATGATTATTTGGTGACCAACGTGTACCTTTTGTGTTTAGTTTAGTTTAGTTTTGGTATTAGTCACATCTTTTTTTATAACATTGTTCACATATTTGTTCTGCACTTTATGGACATTTCCTCTTACTTTCAATTTACTTACAAAAAGAACTGCCAGAAATTTATTTGTGGTTTCATTATAAAACTGATACCTGTGGCATTTTAGTCACTATAATCGTGATATTACATTTCTGTACCATTTAATCTCTGCAACGTAGATGGAGCAGCCGTGATGTGCAGACAGGAGACGTGCGCTCTTATTTGTTGGCCGAAAACTCAGTAACCAGCACTGAACAAGAAAACACTTTGACAAACTCTAGTGGGACCAACACACACACACACACACACACACACACACACACACACACACACACACACAAAAGTATACCTCCATCTAGGCTGCGTGAGTTCCTCTTGCTGGAGGAGCGCTGGAACAGAGGAGCCGGTCGGTCAATCAGAGAGCTGGCCTGTCTGGTCTGAGCCTGAGTCCGACCACTGTAGCGAAACTTGGAGCCCAACGCGAGGAACTTCCTGGGAGTGGTGGCCATCTCAGTGGAGGTCAGTCTGTACACAGACAACACAGATACTGATCTGGGTCAGACAGTGAGCATGTCAACACTTCCCTCAGCTAAAACTGTGACTTCAAGAAGACAGCGCCCACCTGAAGAAGGTGTGATGCTCTACGCACACTTTCCATATCTTCTTGGCCGCCTTGTAATTGGGTAGTTTGAAGCCGATTGCACTCTCATACTGTTCCACCTGTTGAAACAACAACCGTTAGACGAATGAAACTAACTCGTGGTGAGTTCAGTGTGAAACAGACATTACAGGTAGATGATATGAAAACACTCTGTACCTCAGAGGGTCTGATTTTAATGAAGAAGCTGCTGCGTTTGTATGAGACCTTGAGGACTTTAGGCCACGGGAAACGGTTGATCCTCAGTTTGTCTTTGTAAACCATCAGGCCACTGGAGCAAACCCCCAGCATGATGTCGACACCATCCAGATCCTGACAGAGTGAGCGAGAGAGCGAAACAAAGGACCTTTTTTTTCAGAATATATTTGGGCATTTCTAGTATATTTTACAGCGACAGTAGAGAGAAGGCAGGGGGGGGAGAAGAAATGACATGCAGCAGAAGACCCAAGCTGGACTCAAGCTAGGGCTGCTCCATTATGGCAAAAATCATAATCACAATTATTTTGATCAATATTGAGATCACGATTATTCAAAGGATTACTTATTGACTTTAGAAACACCACATATTTATTGAACTTAAAAAATAAAAATAAAAACTTGGCTTTTTAACAGTGGACTTTCTCAAACTTCAAATATAATTCAACGGAAAAACTAATAAAGAGAGGGAGGGAGAGAGAGAGAAGAGATGCTGTAGTGCTGCACCAACATACTGAACATTTCAAATCATATATTCAACATTTTGATAAAACACATCCAACATATTCCACTCAGTCCAAGGAAATTAAAGGCTGGGCCGACAATGTTGTGACACATTTTACCTTTATCAAAAAAAAAAATTGCAGCGGCTGTGATTGGATATTACACTTGGCCATATTGCGATTTTGATTATATCTTGATTAATTGTCTTGTTCTAGTGTAGAGCACCGCCTACAGGGCAGTGCACGTCATCACAGGTTGACAATGAATGACATTTCCTCCCTCGACTGGCTTTTAAAAACTTCTTGTGTCTCTACGATGCATTTAGTGACTACGTCCCAAGAGGACTGCTCCAGCAGCTCACACCATGTGTTTGAAATGTTTTCAACTGTATGCACTACTACCAGTGATTATCTGTGTTTGTAGAGCGGTTGCACTCTGTATTTGGATCTGCAGCAGTTGTTTTGTGATGTATTCCTCACCAATCCACCAGGGGGCAGTGCAGTCCATTAATAGTTCCTGCCTCTATATTTGGTTTAAATCCCTGCTCTGATGCAAACACACATTGACCTGATTTCTGCTGTAAAACCTGACGAGTCACATGTCTTCCTGCTGTTCATGTGCGCTTCTCAAAAACACTAAACAGACACAGACACAAACACGTTCATGCTGCTTGTTTTCATGGAGCTCTGAATGGTTGAATCACATCCACACTTTTTTTTAACAACAAAGAACGGCTGTAACAGCAGAGTAGCTCCTGTTCTCACCTTGGCCTGGTGGAGGTCCACTCCGTACATAGACAGCTTCTTGGCGTTCTCCAGGAACATCAGGTCCGCCTGGGCTGGAGTCATTGACCTGCCACAACACCACAGCAGGAACCCAACAAAATCTTTAGTTACACTTTTTAGGGAGAGCTTCCCCTCATCCCTGATTTATCATTTACTTGAGCTATCCCTGGTGTAAAGTTCTATTACAGGTCCATATAATATAGTCTAAAGGTACATGTCCGTGTTGTTTGATTGTAAAGCGGGTCTACGTTCTATATCAATACTGTGAAAGTATCAAAGCCTGAGTCCACAGAGAAATGCACACAAATAAAACACATGAGGAGGAAAATATGGAGCTTTAATAATTAGATGGAGGCAGTTCTATTGGATGGAGTGGTCAAAAATAAAAGTTGCATAAATACTGTAATTTTGTTCGTGTATTTTAAATGAATAATTCCATTTAGTATTGTACTTTGTGCTCCACTATATTTATCTTACAGCTGTAGCTACTAGTTACTTTTACACATAAAACATATGATCCTCTTATAAATGAGATATTGTTCCAGATTAAAATAAAGTAGTTAAAATGTCACTTTGCTATTAGTGCTAGATACTTAATTACATTTTGCATAACAGTTATGTACTTATGTAGAATTACAGTGTTTGTTGACTTGTAGTAAAACTGTTTCACAAATTCAGGTAACTGTGTTATGTGGTAAACCTTGAATCTGAACGTGTCTTCCACCACTGGTTCACTGAGGAACTGTTCTGACCTGTATGTATGGTGCAGCTCCATCATTTTGTCCTCCAGCTCCTTGGTCTGACCCTGGGCCATTTTCATGTCCTTAGCATATCCACTGCCGTGCACCTCAGGGTCATACTCGCCCAGCTCCGACTGCAGGGCGTAGGAGCCCAGCAGGGCCAGGGTGACGAAGGAGCAGGGAAGGCGACCCTGCAGGATGTCCTTCCGCAGCTGAAGACACAGGTAGTACCTTCAATGCACAAAAAGGGATCACATGTACTACGAATGGAAATCCGTTTTGATAACTCATGTAGCGGTCTGTATTGCACAGGAGGAAGACTAGGATGTGGTTCAAAGCTTCTTCAAAGATTTTTGAGTCTGGGAAACCACAGGAAAGATGACTCAAATGCACAACTCTGAAACAGTCCCTGCATTCAAAAAGTCTTTACTTGCAAACTGTGGTCGCTACACAGGCAGTCAGTGAAGCAGGTGAACAAATCCTCCAAAGGACAGGCAGAGGCGAGGTCAGAGTAAACAAACATAAATCAAAAAACCAAGAACACTAAACACTGGGAACTGCCTGAAGCCTTGACACTAAGGGACGAAGACAAACTGGCACAGAGGAAGGCGAGGACAGAGACTAAATACACAAGGGCGGGGCAGACAACCACACTGGTGGGAGACACACAAGGGCAGGTAGAGGAGAACAGTACAACACTTAAAAATAATGAGAACATAACCTAGGGAGAGGAGCGAGACATGACCGACCGAGTTAAGATTTCTTTGTCAAACTGCTGATCAAAGTTCAGGACTGAGCTCTCATGCCCCTGTGATGCTTGATTACAATATGGCTGACTCATATATTAATGGTTAATTGATATTTAATTAACCTGCAGTAGTCTGTCCAAGTAAATGAACTGCTGTTTTAGTTGTACTATATTTAAGCTCATGTCCCAACAGACTGGAGCCAGCGTTGTTGACTTGCAGGAGTTTAACACCAACATGGTAACTTGTTTCTTTGGGATCTGTGGTGACATAAATTGGAATAAGTTACTTTTACATGTTATAACTAGAGACCAGCATGGGATCAGCAACACTCGTCAACATTTAGATGTTGACGATGTTAGATGAGTACTCAGTGGTAATTACCACTTTATTACATGAGTACTCAGTAGATATTACTCCATTATTACATGAGTACTCAGTAGTTATGACCACATTATCACATGAGTACTCAGTAGTTATTACTACATTATTACATGAGTACTCAGTAGTTATTACTACATTATTACATGAGTACTCATTACTTGTTGGTGGACCACACCCACCTTTGAACTCGGCCTCATGTTGATCTCAGCTACACACCTGTAGCATTTCGTGACTGTATCTTGCAGGTTGTAATGCTGTTGTTATGGTGACAAAGTCTGTCCACAGACACATAAACACCCACTAAAGTACTCAGACCACCTCTGTGGTAGTGGGGCCACATTTTGCCATGATGACCCAGACAGACTCACAGGGTGAAGATAAAACCAGCTGCGCTGTCAAGGCTGGTTTTGATATGTAACCATAATTTTAAAATTGACAAAAAGGGAACGTGGCAGTGTACATTTATATTGGTTTGAAGATATAAATTGCATACATTGCTCACATTCATTGTGTGTGTTTGACTTAGAGTGTTTTTATTTTACTGACTATACAATAGTTTTGGTTTGTTGGTGACATGATTGACTCCTGCAAGTCTCTCTGTACATCGAGGTCTTGGACTTTGTTGTGTTGCTCTCGACATTTTGAAGTTATGTGTGATTTATTGTTCTCAAAAATACACTACAGTACACTAAATCTTCTGTGATTCACCTTCAAACAAAGATCTCTATCTTAATTGGACATGCTGTAACCGAAAAGCCAGAGTGCTGATGAACATCAGGTATTTTAATCCTTAATGATTCATTCAAATTAATCCTGGGATAGAAGGGGAAAAAAGTCACCCATTACCCCATGCACAAGATTCACCTTCCTCATCTGGAGAAATACATCTTTTCCACAATGCGCTTTTGATTTAATAAATATAGTGTTTGTAGGTTGTAGTTGACAAAACCACTGGAACTCATAAGGTACCTTGTTATGTCTTCAGACAACTGGGCTGGGTCTGGTGGATAGAACTTCACATTGAAGGTGAAACTGTAGTTTGCACCTATAGAAAAGAGGGTGGGTGTAAAAATGTCAACATGTTACAAAAGAGAATAAGAACACCAGACGTATTTCTTGGTCAAGTTAAACTCACCTTGTACCTGCCTGCGAATCTCCTTGGTCAGGTCCATCCAAGTCTGATCAAGAGACAGACAGATGTAGCATGAGGTTTGACATCATCAGACACCGCAAGTCCTTCAGCACTGAGGTTCATCTACCCATTAGATACATTTATACACTGTATAAAGAGCTGCCTTTTTCTTAATGGAACACTGAGCTTGGGATTGTTGAACTACAGGACTCCAGACTGGAACCAAAACAGTTGCATATGCACATGTACTGCGTTAGCCACTGTGGTTGACAGTAGCGCTCGGGAGGTCTCTCCCTACCTGCTAACAGTGCGCTCATTAAATGTGCTCATGTCTTTTGGAAAGCGGGGAACTGGATGTGTCCATTTGTAACTAATGAACATAACACGCCAACAGCCAGAAAACATCAGGAGAAGAAGAACTGTGTTTTACATCAGCAGCCAAGAATTTACAGCAGCCAGCAAGCAAACTGAAATCACAGCACATCCTTCAGCAGACTGTGATGAAGTCAGTGGTCCAGCCTGTACCAGCCTGTCATCTGTTTTGTGTCTTTGAGCATCGTTTGGTTCATTCAGGCTAAATAAACCTTCCATTGCATCTACAGTACCCTTACTGCACCACTTTTTCACATAATAAAAAAATATCTATAAACAAGAATTGAGAATGACATTTGTAAACCAATCTGTTTTGATTTGATTTCCTGCTTTATCACACATGGTTTAAGTGGTAAGGCTGAGGTCCTGACTCAGACACAGCTGATGATGAAGGTGCAGGCTGCAGGGAGAGACCAGCTGAGCCAAAGAAGAAGAAATACTACTGCTTTCAACCACTGTGGTGACCACAGCGCCCCTGGTTGCAGTACGAGGAGAATGCTATGCTGTGTGTGTACTGTCTACCAGCCTGATGCAATGATTGGCCTAAAGCCACATGATGCAACCTATCTTTGTAGAGGCCCCATTGGCGGGCTCATACCTACCCTATTTAAATGTTGCTTGTAATGTTTTGTGATGAGACTGATGGACACAAGCTGAAATGTGTTGCTTTAGTAATGAAGTCCTTCTGTTTATTGCAGATGCTGCTGGAGTTTTGACCTCTGAACTTGTTAGCAGGTCAAAACTGTTCAAGCTTCAAACTTTGAATGACAGTGAGAAACATAAAACCTGCAAGGACATAACACATCACCCCAAATGCTGAGCCTCTCCCCAGTGCTACCAGTGGAAACATTAGTCTGGAGCGCTGAGCTGACGCTAACCAGCGACTGTCAAAGTCCAGCTCACCTTCATGGTAGGTGTCTCCCAGATGGCCAGGCCGTAGTAGTCCTTCTCTAGCAGGTTGAGGTGGTCGCACACCTTCATGAACAGCTCATGGCCTGCAGCATGTTTCTGAAGGGAACAAGACAAGGTGATTAAACCTTCCCCTGCTGATGTCACACACCTGACAAGACGTACAGGACCATGTGTTGAATAATGAGCTGAACACGACTGAGCAGATGGCGAGAGCAGCAGTGTCCCAGTGGTTCCACATCTCTGCAGTGCTGTTCAGTGCGTGGTGATGATTCCCTGTTTGGTAAGGGGGGGGGAGTGTGGTGAGATGTGTCCGGGATCAGGTGAGGATTCAGAGGCTTGTCTGAGTCTAAGTCTGTCTAAGTGAAAAGTGGATCCACTCCACTCTGTGAGGAGTTCATCAGAGCAGAGTGGTTGGTCTGCGCTGGCGTGAGCTGGTGGCAAAAAAGTCCTGAATCTGAAGAGTTGCCTCATTTTTCTCATCCCTCTGAGCGGCTCATTGTGCTGGTGTTAATGACCAGAACCACTTGGACTGTTCAACGCCCCCTCTTACAGTGGTATGTTCTATCTCTGTGTGTACGTCATGAAGACACTGTTCAGGGGAATTTCTCCTGAGTACCAGACAATTCAATTCCACTACAGGTGTCACTGACCTTTGTTTTTCACTGTCGCATGCGTTCATTCAACTGTAGTACTACTGGATCACAGTGTGACAGAAACCCATGTACATTCATCCCTTTTTAAGATGATTCTTGCTGTTTTTCAAATCTGCTACTGGCGTTAATGCCAATTAAAACTAGAATCACCTCCTCACTGTTGTATTCCTCCTCTTCTCAGACTAGTTTCAGGTCACATCCCTGTTTATCCAGAGTCAGAGAAAATATGAACCATTTGTGTGACATTTTGTCATAATCGCTGTGAAGTCTTGAGAAAATGGCTAAAAAGTGTTTTGTGAGGTCACACTGACATTGACCTTTGACCACCAAAATCTAATCGGTTCATCATTGAGTCCAAGTGAACATTTGTGCCAAATATGAAGACGTTCCTTCAAGACGTCACTGAGATATTGTGTCCACAATAATGGAATGGACAGAAGGACAACCTGAGAACAATATGCCTCGGCTCTGACTGTCGCCGGCGCAGAGGAGTAAAAATGAAACCAATTAAGTGAGTTTCTGTCCCACAGGGAGGGACAGGCCGGGAGGGGGGCCTATGCTGATCCCTGGCTTCATAGACGAGCTCTGGGTACGTGGAATGGCCGGATCAAACACCATGTTTGAGCATAAGGTGCTTCATTTGTGTTTAATACAAATACTGTAGAGTTTAGTTACTACTGAGATATTTTGGTTGATAAAAGTGTAAAAGCAGATAAAAGCCGAGCCGCTGTTCCTTCAGTGGTATGAACTTAGTGTGGTCAGCATGATGGTCTGCAGCCCGCACCTGAAGTGTATGGACAGTTACATAGTTTGTGCTGTGATTCCAAACTAGAATCAGGAAATATCTGTAACTAAATCTGTAACTATAAATAAAACAATCACCAATTATTTGATTATCAAAATAGTTACTGATTGATTTTTGTAGATTAACTAATCTAATGATCAATTAATTATTACAGCTCTAGTCTAATGGCCAGGTTTTTCTTCCTCCTATGGGATTCTTTTGTCCATTTTTAAAACTCAAAGAAATGTGGGATCACAAACTATCCAAAAATGATTATCTTTCCAGAATATGACGCTACAAGTAAGAGCTACAAAATGCCAAGAAATCACAGTTTTTGGTTTGTGATTGTTCATGTCTCGGTCAGACCATGTGGGGCTGAGGCAAGGATGTGTGTGTGTGTGTGTGTGGAGTGCAACATATGGACATGCGTGGTCTTAAAACTGGCATCTCTTAAATTGAACATGATTGAGGGACAACAAACTATAACATTCAAACTCCAGGTAAAAACCAGAACCACTGACACTGAAGGAATCCAGACCAGGAGAAGATGACGATAACGGTGGTGAAGACAACGACTCCCATGATCCCACACTACTAAAAACCATCTTTTGTTATTGTTTTGATTGAGAGGCAGACGTTAGAGACTGTGTGTTTGCATGACGTATGAATAAAGTTAAATGAAAACAGCTCTCACCTCCAGCTCACACTCGTACAGAGTGTCGTCGAGCAGGGTGACTTTGATCTGCATGGTCTTGGGTCGGCGTGGAGCTCTGGGAGCTTTGGCCTCCTCCTCTGTCGTCTTCTCCTCCTCTCCCTTACTCCCTCCGACAGGATCGGACTCCTTCTCCTCCTCCTTCTCCTTGTCCTCCTCCTTCTCCAGGGCAGCTTCCTCTCCTTTCTCCTTGTCGTTGTCTTCGTCCTTTCCACCCTCCTCCTCCTCCTCCTCCTCCTCTTCCACTTCTTTCTTCTCTACCTGGACAGCCTGACAAAGACAGATTGATGACAACACAGTCCACTGTTGTCCTGTCACAGATTTACAGGCTGACCACTGAAGCTGAACTGACCTCTTCAACACCAAATCATCAGCCAGTCAAATGAGTTACTGTCAGGAACAGATATAAACTAAACTTTTCCAACAAACAGAAATATGTTACCATGGATACAGTGAGTTAAACTGTGGGCTTCAACTTGAGGCCTGTTTTTTTTTTTTTTTTTTTTTTGCCCATGTTTGTTTACATTTTTACTGACTGAGGAGCTTCTTCTTTCTCTGATCTCTAATCAGATTTATGGAGGTTTATTTACTGTGGTGGGTTCATGTCTGTGTTCAGGTCTGACTGAATCATGACTGTGAGTTCCAGATGTTTTTGGATATTGTTAGATAATCTTATTGATTGATTGTTTTGGAGATCACTTTGAGTGTTTTGATACAATATGTGAATAAACGTAACCAGTAATATAAGACATGAGGAGCTCTCAGAGGAAAAAAGGGTGGAGACCCCTGCTCGAGACTCCTCCTACACATGGCTGACTGCTGCAGTTACACTTGGGAGTTAGATAACATGTGCATCATGGAGATAGACGTTGCCTCACCTCCTGAGGTGGTTTGTGTGGTTGAATTGTAATCCATGTCTAATGCTTCTCTGTATCATTTACACTGTGTCTAAACAGTGGGTTTAGCACGAGCAGCCGGAGCAGCTTCAGCGCTCCGTCTGTGTCTGCACAGGATGTGTTCAAACACAGTGCTGAGCTGTAGGACAGGGCCCATCAAACAATGAGTAAAACCCTAGCGGGTCCTGTGTACAGAGAATCTGTTGTGAGAAACATGGCTGAAACACTTCCTGTGTAGACATGACATCACACCTGGCTGCTTCCTGACACACCCAAGACACATGAAGTTACAACAAGTACATGGACTGCATTTCCTGTATATAGCACTTTTCTAGTCTTAACAACCACTCAAAGCACTTTACACTGAGTCACACTCACCCATCAACACACAGATTCATACAGCGCTGTGTATACACAGCTCATCTCTATCACACACACTCAAACACCGATGGGGGCACATCAGGGCAATTTTGAGAAGCCAGGGATGGAACCACCGACCTTCTGATTAGAGGACGACCTGAGCCACAGCCGCCCCAAGATATTCATTCATTTTAAGGAACTCTTAAAACTCATGAATGACAGTCTCTGCAGTGTTTGTTTTATACCCTGCCTATATAAGAGCATAGACTGTAAATAAAGAGTGAGCTGCTCCACCTTCGCCATCTTGGCAGTGTGTGACTCCAACCCTAACTCCCAGCTAATCCAAAAATGGACAAAGAGGAGGGGCGTGTGGGGATCTGAGACTTCAGTGAATACGCTCACCCACGTGCCACTCAAAGAGGCCACGCCCTCAAATACACATAACTTTAAGTCTTAATAAAATGTGAACAGGTGAGTTATATAAACAGGTGTCATGAAGGAGGAAATTAGCTCTAGAGACCAAAACTGTTTTTGTACCAGGCTGTAAACATGTTGGACATTTTAACATGGGAGTCTATGGGGACTGACTCTAGTGGCCATTAGAGGAACCACAGGTTTTGGTTCTTCAGTGTTGGCTACAGCCCCAGAGGTTGACGTCTGTGCAAGAGGTGTTTCAGCCGAGTTTTCTTAGTCATCTGTCTTATCATGTCACATGACAGAACATTTACACATCATATCAATCCACACTTTACATGAGCACCTGCAAAACCAAGATTTAGCTTTTGTCCAAATACGTCTTCATGTCGTTACCTCTGGTTCATAGGAGGACGTAAACTTAAACCCTTTTAGACACGCACATTATTGCCCTCTAAGATTATAAACTTATCTGAAATCTTCTTATGCACAAAGAAAATAAAATCAGTTCAATCAATGTCTCCTCAGACCAGACCTGTCCATTAAAACAGTCAAAAGAGGTTCAAAAAATTCTTGTAAGGCTAAGGCTTTAGTGGCAAAATAAGTTCTAAAATCTATTCATCCATGTGCTCTGTGTCTCTCTCCCTCTCTCTTTCTCAGGTCTTAATGAGACACAAACAACATTAATTTAAGTCAACTTTATCTGAAACAAAATCCATCACTTTAACAGACAGACAAAGCCGCGCTTTAGATACTGTGAACTGAATGTGTGGTTGTAGCCATACTACTGAAACAAAAATGCATGTGATTTGGTAATTAGCAGAATAGTAAAGGCCTCATGTGTGGGATATTACTTGGTGGTCATTAAAATATATTCAGAAGCCATTAATAATGAATTCCCCTGGTCAATCATGACATATTTCTCCTCCTAACATGAAAGCACATTAGCTGCTTTAAGCAATAAAAAGTATCAATATTGGGATCAATATCAGTGATCCTGGCCCTGATCCATTAGATCAAGACCAAATGTTGTGGTGTTGCCCAGTCCTACTGCAGAAACAGATACACAGCATACAGGCTGACCTGAGCCTCAGCGCTGCTTACTGAGTGCTGATCCAGGGCGACCTCTCCCTCTGTCCTCAGTTCAGGTTCTGGGTCAGCGATGGGGGCTTTAGCTTCCTCCTCTTCCTTGTCCTCCTTCTCTCCCCCCTCACTCTCACACTGTGAGCGCCTCTTCAAGAAGGAGGAGAAGAGGCGGGAGAGGCCACGGCCGGCAGAGTTACGGTTGCGAGGCCGGAGCTGCTCCTCCTCTGGTGAGGGTGGCCTGGCGTCCTGGCCGACTTCCTCCTGCTGCCTCGGCTTCTTCTGGTGACTCTCCGCCTCGTCTGTTGTCATGGCAACAGCTGTGGAAGTAGAGGACAAAATCAAGTTAAAGAACAGAAACACTCCTCTAAGCCAGAGAGATAAAGAAACAACCAAATGTTAATATCAGGTGGAAGAGGGGTCTTTGTGGATTCAGCTTCTTGAACCTCCAATCCTACAATTAATCGTTCAGGTCAGAGTTGGGTAAATCCACTTCTGCCCAGAAACTGCTGAATCATTAAGAACCAATGAGACACTGGTTGCTATGGTGACTGAGGCCCCCAGGAGCAGCATGGAAATACGCAGACAAACCACTCTATCCCTTGGCAAACAACAGCTTATAAGCCAAAACCTCTCATCAAAAATGCCCTCATAGTTAGAAAAGTACAAGTCCTATCAACAAAGTTTTTTCACTGCGAGCATCCCAACGCTTTAACACAGACAATGATGTATTATATATGAACCTGCTGTTTATGTTTTGGAGCTGACGCCATGTCAAAACTCCCCTCACCTCTGTTTGTGACAGGAACTTGTTTAACATGGCCATCTATGGCAGTGTTGACAGCACTCTCTGCACTGAGGGGGGATTTCTTCAAAAACCACAACTCATGTCACAGTGAGAGTAACACTGGGTGAGAGAAGACTCATTTCTCTACGTTTCTATATGTTAATTGTCCATGAAGCTTGGAAAGAGTGGCATTTAAGAGACTGAAAGAGTTTTTTTTGGGGGATAAAATTTTCTGGGATGTCAGTTAGAGTGAGTGTGTCACAGACTTACTGTTAACATTCCAAGCAATACACAACCATTATAACTGAAACAGTCTAAAAATTACATTAAACTTAAACTGTGATTTTGTAAAAACCATAATGGCTATCAAAATGAAAATTTAATGCAAAAGAGTCTTAATAGTTTTCACCTGTTTAAGGTTTCGACCATGTTTCTGTGTTAAAGTTTGACAAACCAGTGTGCCTCCGAAAATGGATGGGTTTGATCATTTTCACAATGTCTTCCCATTCATTTTATATGGAAAATGTTTCACAGTTTTTCATGGCATGCACTGCCATGTTTACTAAAGTCGCAAAGAAAAGTCATAGCACACAATTCCCAACTGAACTGTACATTTTGATGTATAATTTGCCTCAAAGTTTTAATAGTTTTCTCAAAGCTGCTGAAGACAAAGTTGTATGTCTCCACCAATCAGTTAAGTTGCAGGAAATGTGGTCACAATCTCCCCTGCTGTTCCTGAGTTATAGTGCCGAATAATGTCCAGAAAAGTGTTTTTGCATTTTGTGCTTATGATGTAACAGTGACATTGACCTTTGACCACCATAAACAGTTTATGTTTGAGTCCAAGTGGAGGTTTGTATTAGGGTTGAACAATTAACCAAAATATCAAAATAGCAATATGACCAAGTTTAATAACCAGATCGCAGGAGGTGCAATCCTTTTGAGAAAGGTCAAATGTGTCACAACAGACCATAACTGAAGCATTGTAGAGCTACAGAGACACCCCAGCTACAAATCATATTCTCCAGATGTAAGGGAACAAAAATCACATCATCATCATTTTTATATTTTGTTTCAGTGTAAAAATGACAATTCCAAATGAAATCACAACTCATATCACAAACACAACATCAGTCAAAATAATCGCACTATGATTTTTTTTGCATATCGTTCAGTCCTAGTTTGTACCAAATTTGAAGAAATTCTCTCAAGGCGTTACTGAGATATCGTGTCCACGAGGATGACTGGACGGTGAGACGGATGGACAACCTGAAGCATCATGCCTCCAGCTGCAGCTGTTGCCAGCACAGAGGTAAGTGAATAACAGCAAAACAAGCCAGATTTGACAAAATCTTAATTCAAGGCCCACTTATTTGCATTTTTCTTAGCTTTCTACCACATTCATAATCGTCATCAGCAGATGAAATTGACTCATTCGTGATGAAGTTGGTAAGCAAGTTTGAATCTTGGTTATGTGATAATAAGTGGTCATAGGCTAACTGTCTCCTACTTCACTGAGGTGTCCGTTCTCAGTGTACATGCACCAGTGGAATTTCAACATTAATCTAGTGTAAGTTGCATGATGAACCAGGACTGGCTTCCAAACTATTTGTGATGTCACAAAGTACTGCTGGTACACACACACATTAAAGTGAGAATGAAGGTGAGCACAGAGAAGATGAACGTGGAAACAAACTCCATTATACATCACTAAGGAACAATGCAAAATGAAACTGGCCTGCATGATACCGAGGCAGATGCAGCAGCCCCACTGGCAGCCAATCGTCTGGGCAACTGAGCACTGTCCTGACAGTATTTCACAAGTAGTAAACTCCTCCCCATCTAACAAGCCCAGAACCATAACAGCAGCCTGTCTCTCCTGGTCTGTGTTGTCTTGAGTGCAACTTTATCATTAACAGATTTCACATTGGTAGATGTTTTTACAAAAGTCTGTAAAAATAACTTCCATCACTGAAAAAGCACATAACAACATACAATGATTTCTACCATCATTCCTTATTGAATCTGAGCCGCATGGTCGGCTATTTCACTATGGTTTTCTAACTAGTGTGACAGGGGTAAAATCCACTGTCTCACTTTGACTTGGTGCTAATGGAACACTGACCTCCTGACACTGCTGGGATTCTCACTCATCATCTTGTCTGTCTGTCATGATCACTTGTTCTGATCTGCATCATCCCCTCACCGACACAGTTCTCTGCTTGTGGTTAATGCTGACTGCTCACGTTTACAGTGTAACGCCTGCACACAGTCACTGCATTACAGCAGTGATCGTGGGCGGCTGCACCTGAAACACCACATCAAAGGGTCATTCTTAGGGTCTGACTGTTGCGTGTGCCTATGCACTGAAAAGGTAGCTTGGAGTAGCCAGCCTTCCTCTCAGACCTGCAGCCTTACGTCTTGGGTAAAGAGAGAGGCAGAGCTGTCAACTGATCACCACCTAGACATGCCAACATGTTCATCTGGGAGGAAAATGATCCAGATTACAAACATTTGGGACGGATATGAAAGTTCAGCAAGATCGCCGTTACACACAGGTGAGGTAAGAGGTGTGGCCCTAAGAATGACACCTGAAGTCCGTCAACTCAGTGCTGCTCGCTACACTATCGGTGGTCGAGTTGACTGTTAGCAGGAGGCCACAACCGGTTCCTGATGGGTCTTCCACCACTGGACCGCTTTGAGTTTTAATTGACTATTCCCGCACTATAGTTTTAAGTTTAAGTTTAAGTTTAAGTTTAAGTTTAGTTCAGAAAGAGAGAGCTGTAGAAACAGTTTAGTTCACATGTTTTTGTCAAAGAAGTAATGCTCTTTTGTCACTGAAATACTGATTATGTGTGTAGTGCAGCATACAGTTTCTGTATGAACTCTTAACAGTGTGTAGGACAGTTGTTCTATATTTCTACTCTGTTTGAACTCAAAGTTTCATGTTCAGTGACTCTCTTCATGTGGGTTAAGATGAAGAAAGCTATGGCAGCTTCCAGCTTCTTCAGAGATGTAGATTCTTTCAAGTGTAACTGTGGTGTGTCAGATCACCAGTGATGTGACACCTTTATTAACAGAGGTGAAAAAAACTGCGCATGGCTGTTACTAACTCTGAGAGTGAACCACATTACATTCACTAATTAATCTACATCATGGGCCAGGCTGATCCTCTCCGAACACATGTAGGCCATCACCACACCTCATCTCCATTCCTATTTTCAGACGATAAAAACATCAGCCTCTCTCCGTCTCTTAGGTTGCCAGGACAGTGAAAAGAGGCAGCATTGTGTTTTGAGTGTAGTGTCCCTTTAAACAGAAAACCGCTAACTGGACCTGAAGCTTCAACAGTAAACTCAAGACAAACAATGTCACAGTGCAACAATGCCAACAGCAGAGATAATCACAGACCAGCACAGACACTGGTTTATCATGTTTAACAGTATAGTGTCACTAGATGGCACTGTTAGCTCGTTCACATGATGCCCATCTACAAAAAATTAACTGCAACAGCAAATGAGTATATAGGGAACATAGTCGTCACTGGATCCTGTTCACTATAAGGAAATGTTGTTCATTTACAAATCTGGCAGTATGTTGATACTGAATGCATCAGTAAAATGTTCACAGACAACATGTTTGTTTTCATACAAAATATCTGAACAGCAAAACAACATCAATTTTTAGTGACTCCAGTGTTTTTATACTTCATCAGTAGTTTAAATTCCTTAAAAATCCTCTGCTATCATTCATATTTTGTTTAACTTGATTTTCTCACATAAAAAGTGAAAAACAAGCTCATCTCCTCCTATTTCCTGATTGAGAAACCTGGATCATGCCTTGTGCCCCGCCCACCACCTGCTTGCTCCAGGTGGACAGGTGAAAGAGCAGAGAGTATCAAGATGGTTAGAGGAGGAAACATCAGAGAGACTCAGCCACATGTTTGAGCCTCAGTCAGACCCAGACTCAGAGGAGGAGTCTGAGACCAGAACCAGAGACTAGCAGACGGATCACAACAGTTAGCGTAGTTAGCATCTTTTATTTGTTTATGTTGTTTGTTAGCTTGTAACTGGCAGTGGCTGACACAGTGTTAGTATTGTGCTAATGCTAACTCTCTCTCTCTGTACTGACAAGGTTTCAGGTTTATTTAGCCCCGCCCCCCATCCCCCCAAGTTGACAGGATTGGTTCCTTAGGTTTGTGATGTATGAAACCCTGGCTGTCTGAATCTGTTTTTATGTATTGTATTCTTATGGATGTTAAAAGGGTTAAACACTTGGGAGGTGTTCTTTAAACTGTTATATAATCGTCTTAAGACTCTCACAGGGAAAGATCCTGGTCTGGTTTGATACAGAAAAAGTTCAGACACAACCTTTGTATTTATATTTGACCAGTGACCAGGAAAAGCAAGAAAAGCATTGCTTGACCATTTAAAACTGAAAATAGAGATCAATTAGAACAATACTGAAGTAGAAGTGATATCTCTCCTTACATCTGATCTCAGAACAGCGTTCAGTCCCATAAAGGATCTCATA